ACCATATGACCAGTCTATCTAACCTTTTTTGCTCATATCACCTTCTCTTTGGGAAAGAGAAAATATCCCTTGCCGATGGGTCCCTTGCCCTCATCTCTGGAAAAGGTGATATAAAGACCTCTGACACCCTGTTCTTATCTTCTGTTCTTCATGTCCCTAAGCTTAACACAAACCTCTTATCTGTTAGTAGCTTAACAAAGTCCATTAATTGCAGCATAACCTTCTTTCCCACTCATTGTGTTATTCAAGACCTGCAGTCTCAGAGGATGATTGGGAGTGGCCATGAGGCGAACGGAATATACTTGCTGGACACACCGGATCAAGCTTTGGGCTCATGGAGTTGCCTTAGAGTCAGTCGTGTTAGAGTCTGTTAACAATTTTATTATGTCATTTTTGGTTTGGTCACTTGTCTTTTTCTGCTTTGAGTCATCTGTTCCTAGATATGTTTAAAGGAGTGTCTTTATCGAGTCTTCATTGTGAATCATGTGAGCTGGAAAAGCATTGTAGACATTCAATTAGCAATAAAAGATCACTTTCTCCTTTTCATATTGTTCACTCTGATGTGTGGGGGCCATATCACATGCCAACCATGGGGCGTTACAAGTACTTTATCCTTTTTATTGATGATTATTCGCGTTACACTTGGATTTATCTTTTATTGCCAGTCATGGTTGAAGACTGAATGATCAATTTGGCATTGTTTCATACCAAACTTTTTTACCACCTCACTGAATCTACCAAACCATGCTCGAGGAGACTGTTTAAGCCTATAAATAGCCTTCTTTAGTCTGCACACCTTACCATCCTCCCCCTGAGCAACAAACCCCGTGGTTGCTCCATATAAACCTCCTCGAGCAAATCACCATGCAAGAAAGCATTCTTGATATCAAGCTGATAGAGGGGCCAATCATACATAGCAGCAAGTGAGATCACAACACGAACCGAACCTATCTTAGCCACTGGGAAGAAGGTCTCAGTGTAGTCAATACCATAGGTTTCGGAGTACCCTTTTGCAACCAATCTAGCTTTCAGTCGCTCTACACTACCATCAGGTAAATACTTAACAGTATAAACCCACTTACAACCGACAGCCTGCTTCCCAGGAGGAAGAGTGGTGAGGCCCTAAGTATGATTATGAGTTAGAGCTGARAGTTCTTCCATTGCACAGCACCATCCTGAAGAGGCAAGGGCTTCCTGGACATCCTTAGGGACAACAACAGAGGATAACAAAGAGATAAATTGGCGATGGGAAGCGGAAAGGTGAGTGAGTGAAGCATAATTAGAAATAGGATGAAGGGTACAAGTGCGTTTACCTTTCTACAAGGCAATGGGAAGATCAAGATCAGATATTGGGTTTGGGGCTGGTGTGGGGACAACTGCTGGATCTGTTGACGTTGATGGAGTTGGAGGAGCAGCCGGTACATGTGGGCGATGTGTATACACTTGACAGAATCCGCACACACAAAGGAACGTCGAGAGCTAGGATGATAACACATACCCTTTCTGGGTCCGGGAATAGCCAAGGAAGATGCACTTAATGGACCGTGCATCTAACTTGTCTTTTCTTGGGCTTAGATTATGGACGAAGTAGACACACCCAAAAACCCGAGGAGAAAGAGGAAACAGAGACAAGGTGGGAAACAAGGTAGTGAATGGGGAGTGACCATCAAGGATAGACATAGGCATCCGATTAATTAAGAAGCAAGAAGTAAGCACCGCATCACTCCAAAAGGGTTTGGGAACATTCATGTGATGCATGAGGGATCGTGTTGTTTCCAAAAGATGACGATTCTTTCTCTCAGCCACCCCATTTTGTTTTGGGGTGTAGGTACATGAGGTCTGATGTATAATGCCATGTTGGTCCAAGTATTCTTGAAATGATGAAGAGAAATATTCATGGCCATTATCGGAACGAAAAATTTTAATGTGAACACCAAATTTGTTGTGAATCTTAGTATAAAATTTTTGGAAGATGGTAAACAATTCACTCCTTTCTTTCATTAAATAGAGCCACGTCATCTTTGAAAAATCA